AATCTGTCACTTGATGAATCAAAATTTTCATTTGCACTTTTTTTCGAGGAGGGTGTCGGGTAAGCACCCACCCCTACAAAATCGTGATTTTTTTGAGTTGAGGCCCCTGGGCGCTAACGCGGTTGAGTACGGTAAATGCAAACACTAAAAATTATGTCAAAATTATGGCAAACCATGATATTTTCAATGCACATATAATACATTTTGTAATCATGTCAGAGCCAAAACTGTTAATGTTTCTATGGTTTTTTTTTTTTTTGGGGGGGGGGGGGGTCAGCATGTTTTAAAATACAATGTGGGGGGGGGGGTGTCACCCACTTTTTTTTTTTTTGATAGGGGTGGGTCAACTGAGATTTACAGCTGGCAAAATGGAATCTGCCGCCCCCCTCAAGGCTGAAGTAACTGACCAATCCCTAAACAAGATTCTTCAATATATTGTTAATTTTCAAAGTCGTATAAAGTTGGAAGCAGATTTGGCATTGAGAAATTTTATGATTTTCATCTTGAATAACACCTTGAATCATGCGTATTTGAACAAACAATGCATGAAATTAAAAGAACTGTTGCTCTGTACTGTAACAATTTCACTAAACTGAAAGTAAAACAAAATGTAGTTTACAGATTTACTAAAAGTATCAATCTCTTGCATACCTAATTCAGGCTCTTCTGTTTCTGAAAGTCCACCACAGAGAGAAATTGATAAATCATCTAGTAGTTCACTAAAATTAAAATAATAATATTATATTAGTTTAACAAAGCATAAACTAAAACGAACCACTAGGATTGAATCACAGACAGGAGGTGGTTTCATTAAGGTTTACAGAGATTGGTTCAGACATGATAGAAACATATCCAACTAAAGTTGAGAATACATCAGAATGTATACAGGATAAAACAGAGTTTTTAAGGTAAGGGGGACCATTTAAATCTGAGAAGGGGCATAACAGACCTGAGAAGATCCAAGAGCCTGTTTCCTTCACAAACCAATGAATTTAAACCATAGTGCAACATGAAAAACGCCAAATCAACCAGGTAAATACTACTACTGAACCTTCTTCCAAGCCCTTGCCAGGATTTGACAACCCCCCTGATACAAAGCTGATAAATGCAGGGTATATCATCGTGATGGGCAATATCTCCACTGCATATTTACATATTATAATCTTTTTAAATACAAAAATAAATATATATATGTAACCGAGATTCACTCTCAAAAGAATCTGCGATAATGAAATGCACATGTATGTAAACCAATGCATTCAATTTCATTTTACAAGGTACTAATACAGATCAAAGAAACCATAGAAAGAACTCATTGTGTGTATTGAAGCCATGAAGTGCAAATTGGGAATATTTAAAATTAATGGTATAAACCAGATGACAATTGGCTAACACAGCTCTGTACTTTGAGATGCGCAATGTGAAGGAAATCCACAGCATTTTATTTTATAATACTGACAGAAAACTATAAGAATAAAATTGATTGTAGTATATGTGCTTTCATCTCAGAGCACCTATGATTAGGTAATTAAAATAAAACGCATGGATTCCCACTAAATTAGAGCACCTAGGTACCAAGTTTCATTAACGTTTGATGAGTGGTACTGAAGATATCTGTAGAAAATCTATGAATTGTCTAAAGTAATACGAATATACAGAATTCAAACCTAAACTAAATATTGTGCTTTGTTAATACAAGAAGGTTTTGAGTATTTACAAATTAATAGACACACTTCCACTTCACTTCACAAGTGCATAAGCAAATAATTTCCAATGATAACAAATGTATAATGTCTCCCCTCTAACCCTAGGGAAAGTGAAAATACACACTTGCATGTAAATATAAAGTAATGAATGCCTTCATTACTATGCAACTCATCTGAGGAGGTAAATGACCAGTCAGAACACAGCAACCTTATAACATACATATAACTAAGTCATTGACTCTAAATCAGTTCTTTCAAAGTTCACCCATCCAGGTTAAGCCTTAATGAAGTTAATTATTACATGTATTTCAATCACGCCAGCAGAATCAGTAGCAATTTAAAATCAAAGAAAGCTTAGAAAGAACTCCCATGTGCTGAGAGTATTGGAGACACATTAAATATAATTCGAAATTACTTAGCTGAAAACTAATTATGCAAATCAGAAAATTAATATGACCAGATTTGAGTGTAAAACTAATGAGGTCTGCGCAATGTAACAGAAAATCTATGTCTCCAAGTTTAATTGAAATGTGATTAGAACCAAAAAA